ACTTAACCAACTGAGCCACCAGGTACCCCTAAAATTTTTTTTTTAAATGAGTATAGTTGACATACAATGTTACAGTTTTAGGTGTGTAACATAATGATCCTACAAGTTTATACATTATGCTGTGTTCACCACAAGAGTAGCTACCATCTGTCACCATACAGTAGTATCACAATACCATTGACTATATTCCTTTTGTTGTGCCTTTTATTCCACTTATTCATTCCATAACTGAAAGCCTCTATCTCCCACTCCCCATTTTACCCTTCCCCACCCCTCTGGCAACCATCAGTTTGTTCTCTTTATTTATAGGTCTGATTCTGCCTTTTTTTTTTTTAAGATTTTATTTATTTATTAGAGAGAGGGAGGGAGAGAGCAAGTGAGGGGAGGGGCAGAGGAAGAAGCAGACTTCCTGCTGAGCAGGGGACCCCCCCCCCCCCCCCCACAGGGGACTTGATCCCAGGAGCCTGAGCTCATGACCTGAGCCAAAGGCAGATGCTTTACCGACTGAGCTATCCAGGTGCCCCATGATTCTGCTTTTTGTAAAACTGCATAATTTTAATGATGCTCAAGAGAAGATTTACCTTCTGCTAGAAGTGCATGGCAGGGCCTATTTTCTCACACTCCTAACATTAGGTAATCATTTTAAGTAATCTTTGCCTATTTGATGAGTCAAAAATGATAGTCTTTTTTTTTTTTCATTTTATAATGTTAAGATTAATTTCTTACACAGAAAAATGAACTCTTAGTTCAGTGCCTCTCATCACGGTTCATGTAAATGTAGTAGGGGGAATGCAAAAGGTGCTGTGTTTAAGCAATAGTACTCAATTTATAGTATCAGGTTAAAGAATCTCCTTTTCCCAACTCTGTGATAATATTGCCTTTTTTTTTTTTTTAAGATTTATTTATTGATGGGGCACCTGGGTGGCTCAGTCGTTAGGCGTCTGCCTTCGGCTCAGGTCATGATCCCAGGGTCCTGGGATTGAGGCCCACATCAGGCTCCCTGCTCAGTGGGAAGCCTGCTTCTCCCTCTCCCGCTCCCCCTGCTTGTGTTCCCTTTCTCTCTGTGTCTCTCTCTGTCAAATAAATAAAATTTTTAAAAAAGTATTTTTTGAGGGGTGCCTGGGTGGCTCAGTCAGTTAAGCCACCAAGTCTTGGTTTCGGCTGGGGTTATGATCTCGGAGCCTGGGATACAGCCCCATATCGGGCTCTGGGCTCAGCATGGAGTGTGCTTGAGATTCTGTCTCTCCCTCTGCCCCTCCTGCTTGTGCTGTCTCTCTTTCAAATAAATAAATAAAAAATCTTAAAAATAAAAAGATTTAGGTATTTGAGAGAGAGAGCGAGAGCGCGAGCGCACAGTGGGGGAGGGACAGAGAGAAGGGAGAGAGAATCCCAAACGGACTCCTGCTGAGTGGGGAGTCTGGGTGGAGGGGTGGGGGGCTTGATTTGACCTGCTGAAATCAAGAGTCAGGTGCTCAACGGACTGAGCCACCCAGGTGGCTATTTATGTAAGTTGTGGTTTAGGCCAGCCTGAATAGATCAAGCATGGAGTCCCTTTCCTTTATGAGGATTTTTTCTCAATTCTTGTCCCTGTCAACACCTAGAGGTAACCCTTTCCTCTCCTTCAATCCTTTACCATTTTTTCTCTTTCTCTTATGGTACTTATTCCTTTTTTCGTTAATTTATGTATATTATCTTTTCTATTAGATCAATTAGATTTGGTTTTTTCAAACTGAAGATGGGTTATAAAATCAATTCAGTTGGTTATGATTAATGTTTTAATAGTGTAAATAACAGGAAATATCAATGTATCACGTCTTGTATTTCATGAAACTTTTGTTTTCATTTGTGTGTATGTGTGTCTACAGGGTCAAATATGTATTTCTAAAATTTGAAAAACTATTATAGCTTATACTTTTGAGAATAGAATGTATTTTATAGTTTTTTACAGCTCTGTATGCTTAGAATGATGCCATATAGTACAATATATAATTTTATTTTTTCTTCAATATAAAATACTTTAATTTGGGTTACTCAGTTCCAAAGACTTTGTGAGATTGAGTAACAATCTGAGCACTAAGTATTACATCTTCATTGTGCATTTTTTTTTTGCTTTTTTTTAAAGATAAATTTAATACATATGTGACCTTGAAAGTGCAGAATGTGAAGAGCACAACTGTAGCAGTTCGTGGTGATCAGCCTTCTTGGGAACAAGATTTTATGTTGTAAGTACTTTGCAGCAGCAGCCACCTACAATATTTATGAAAACTACAGTTACAGGAACAAGTGAGGGGTATTGTGGGGTGAAGTACATCTGCAGTTTCGTTCTCTCCTGCATTTGTAATTGATTCTACATTATGTGAATTATGAATGCAAATAAACTCCCAATTCATTTATGTGGGTAAATATACTGCCTAGTCAGATTTTCCCATGGTCAGAATTAGGATATAGTACAATATACTTAGCATGATAGTAAACATAATTTAAATCTTGCTTCGATTCTCAGAAGGCTCCTTGAAGGAAAGTGTTGTGCGCACGTGCGTGTGTGTGTGTGTGTGTGAGAGAGAGAGAGAGAGAGAGAGAGAGAGAGAGAGAAAGAGAAAGAGAATGTCTGTGTGTGTGTATACCCAGGTTACCTGCTATTGAAGATGAGGATTTCTGTGCTTAAAATCCTTTTGCTTTATGGAGTGAAATGTCCTACCTTCCTCTAGTTAATAAAAATGAGTAACCATTAGGATTTCTTACATATGACACAAAATGTAGCATATTATTGTAAGCTCTGGCTTTAAAAACTTGACACTTCCTTTTTTTCCTCTGAAATTTGAGGCATTTTTTTTCTGCTCTAGAAAAGGGGAGAAAAATGTAGAATATCATTTTGAAGGACTACACAAATCATTGAGCTTCTCTGAGTGCCAATTACTTTACCTGTAAAGGTCTTTCTTACAAGGTTATACTTGTTTTCTGGGAAGTTAGGCATATGGGTGTCAAACAAGAGAATGTATTAAAATTGCTGTGAGTTTTGAAATGGAAGTGAAATTGACTTTACAAGTTTTGTAGTGCATCTCAGGCACATAGGGATGATGATTTTCATGTAGATACATTCCAATCCTTCGGGCTTTTGATGTATTGCTTCTTATAGTACCATTGAGGAAACTAGATTATAAATACTTTAAGGGTAAGATTATGAGTGGCTGGGCTAATAAGATAGCAGAAGGGATAGAAAAGGATGGAAAGAAGGTGTTAAGGAGATAGACTTGTCTTGCATGATTGGGTAGGTATTGTGTTACTCATTAGGATAGGGGACAATATAAATTCACTTATGGACAAACTTATATTTGAGGTTCATATAGGACTAGTAGGAAGAGAGGTACAGAAGATAGGAACTTGAACCTGGCACTCAGGAAAGAAGTAGGGGTTGGAGAAATATTTTAGTCAGTTGGAGCTGTAGGCATAGATGAGGAAGCTTAGGGAGATGGTGAGTAAATTGAGAACAGGGTCTGAGGTAAAGCCTGGAAGGGCACCAGCATTTAAAGTGGGACAGAGGGGACTAAAAAGGAATGAAAAGAGAGATAGGAGAAACAGGAAGCTGAGAGAGAACTGGGGCTTCAAGAAGAAAGAGAGCCAGTGTTGTCACATTTCTCACTGGTTGTCTCACTCAAAATTACAAACCTCGTTCATTACCTTTCTCAGTCACAGTGCCATGAGAGTGAGACTGTGTGTTTCTCTGTACCTGTAGTGTGCATAGTCAGCTATGAGTGGTTTATTCAAGTCTCTTCCCATGGCTGTTTGGCATATAAAATCCAGAAATCCTACCTTCCTCTGACTTCCAGTTGGCAGTAATAATCACTTACTGTTAAAACTGTTCCCATTGTGTGAAACCTAGCGATCTTCTGTAGCCTCTCATCAGCATAACTAGCTTTATTCTTATGTGTTTATTTTCCAATTTCCTGTAGCACTTCCTCTTTCAACCCTTCTGTGATACGTGTGAATTTTTTTCGTCTCCCACCTTGAGATGCTGTGTGAATTTTGCTTTCTCCTCTGTTACACATGGATTTTATTAGCTACATTTTCCTCTTTTGTGCTCCTCTTCCTTATTCCTCCTACCCTGCTCTTTTGTTACTGGCAGCTCCATTGCTGGTCTCTTGTCTCCCTTTCTCCTTTTTCCTTCTTCCTAATGTATTATATGGCAGTATCTAATACTCACTTTTGTATTTTTCGTTGTTTATCTTTAATATTTCTGTATCTTACTTCCAGGACTAGATTATTCATTTAAGGGTAAGCAGGGCATCTTTAGTTACTGTGAATTTGCCTAGCTCCAGATCTTGTATATGTATACGCACATATACTATTGATTAATTAATAGAGAAGTTTCCCCAGAGCTCTGGGGATGAGGCATAAACAAAGCTCTCAGACTTCTTTTAAGTTGGGCCTGCTGGACACACATAGATGAGATGAGAAGCTTCTTATAGGAGATAGCCTCTCGGAGTTTTATTCCCCAGAGTTCCCTAAAGAACTTTTTTGTATCCAAGTCAAGCTGTAAAGGCCTCTGGCTATTTCTTTCATCTATTGGCTTGAGATGTTGCTTAGGACTTGCTTTAGGAACATTATGTATGTATCCCCATGCAATTTTTCTTTTCCAGATTCAAAAGATTTGGGGTTGTCAGATGTCTTTTCCAAGGCAAATTGATTAATTAGGCTGAATGAAACTGTGTGACAAAAGCTTAATTTCCCCACACTGTGAACACCTTAACTTACTGGCTGGGTTTAGTCACCTACTTTGTGGCTTTGAACAGCTCTCAAGATAGTTTAGAAGGTTTTAGAGATAGGAATTAGGTCCTATATTGTGTGTCTTGCTCAAAGTACCAAACCATATGTATTATATGTGCTGAGGAAACATTAATTAAATGAACAAATGAACTCAGTACCTTCTCTGTTATAGTGTATTTAGTAAAAGGGGTGAATTTTCTTTGCTTCACTTGTTTTCAGCACATTTGATGAGAAGTCTATGGCTGTATTACCACATCCTAAATGTGTGATTCTGAGAACATGTATTTTTTTTTTTTTAAGATTATTTATTTATTTGAGAGAGAAAGAGAGCACAAGCAGGCGGAGGGGCAGACAGAGAGGGAGAAACAGACTCACTGTTGAGCAGGGAGCCTGATGCAGGGCTTGATCCCAGGACCCTGGGATCATGACCTGCGCCGAAGGCAGACGCTTAATTGACTGAGCCACCCAGGTGCCTGAGAACATGTATCTTAATAGAACAGGGAAACCAAGCTTTCTCTAAAGTATGAACTTGAAACTTCATGTGATGAATAGCTGTTGTCTCCCTGAGAATACCTTTCTGCTTTTTTGCTAGAATGGGGCTTTTTTTCATTTTTCTTGCATTTCCTTTCAAATAACCCCGTATTTCAATAAGAGCCTTCTGGAGGATGTTTTTAGCATAATATAAGTATTTGCTTGTTCCACTTTAAGACTATAATTACGTTTGAGTTGGCCCTTCCAAGCTGATATTCTACCATGTATGATATTGTTTTTGCTTAGTGGTTATGTGGCTCTTTCTGGAATGATTTCTTTTCAAAAAATTTTTTCCTATTTGTTATTACAGGATAATCATTGTGTTTATCACTATCCTCTGACAAACATTTTGTTTATAAATGACAGTGTCTATTTTAACTGGGTTCTCCAGGGGCTGAGTGGAGTGAACTGGTATACTCCAGTGTCCCTTACCTGCCTCTGACCACAGTTTCCCATCAGATTTAGATCTTCTCATGGGCCATTTTACTTCTACTTGGACTCCCTTTCATAAATCTTGTAAAGAAACCTTACCTTTTCCTAAGTTTCCTATATATAGTTTGTAAGTGTAAGTTAAGGGCACTGTTAATAATAAAACGTTGTAAAACTGCTTGGTAAGGGTAGAGATTATAGACTTGCAGGTCTGGCAGTAATGCTGTCCTTACTTATCCCCATTTTTTTGTGAAAACGCATTAATCTAATCATGTTTGTAGTTCCAGAGGCAAGGGGACGGATGGACAAAGGCATTTTTGTATGGATTCTTACATACTTTTCTAGGAACCTAAAGAATGGTTGTTGTATTCTGGGACATTTTGATTTTCCCTGACAATAGGATCCTGGTGAGAAAGTATTCAAGGCTTAGCAAAACAGGAGAGGTGGATGTAGGAGATGTATATTTCATATTATTTGGCTTTCTTTTTTTTTCAAATTTATTTTTTTAGTAATCTCTACACCCAGCATGGTGCTCAAACTCACAACCCTGATATCAAGAGTCACATGCTCTTCCTTCTGAGCCTGCCTGGCACCCCTATCTGGCTTTCTTTAAAGGGCTTTCTTCTTTCCTTCAGTGAGATTAATCGCCTGGACCTGGGTCTAAGTGTGGAGGTATGGAACAAAGGACTGATCTGGGACACCATGGTGGGGACCGTGTGGATTGCACTGAAGACTGTTCGTCAGTCGGATGAGGTTAGTACATGCATTGCCCATTTGGAGGTATAGTTCTAGACCATGCTTGTCCCCATCCTAGCTCCATTCAGCTAATATTCACCATGCATCTCAGATTGCTCTGTCCCCCTTTCTAATTAGTAAGCATGCAACCAGCCTATTCTTAACCTCACACAGAGGTTCAATGGATTTTATTTAAGTCTTGTCTTCTCTGTACCTTATGACTGAACTCAGAGGTGCCAGAACTTCTCTTTAGCCATATCAGGTTGATAGCCCCTTCTGAGTACTGTGTGTGAGGGAGAAGGAGAGAAGGGGAGTAGGTATGTGGGTGATCTAGGATACCTGTGGTTTCTGCGTTCTCCTCTAAGAAGCTATCCTGGGAGAAGTCCCATTAAACTTCCTCAGCCTGGATCCCGTTCTGTGCTTTATTTCTTTGAGTCACCAATTCCCAGGGAACTGGTTTCAGTCTTCCATCTTCTACATATAACCCTAATAGAGTTTAAGGAATTACCATGGGTGGCAGTTGTTATATACTCTGTCTCTATACATTATTTCCAAGAGTGGTTTTCTACTCCATTTTCCCAGATTGAAACATAACTCAGCATCATTTCCCCATAGACACTCACTTTGAACCTGGAAAAAATGTACTATATTCCTGTTTGGCTTTAGCATTGACTATGTGTTTTCTCTGGGAGTTGGGATAGTGCACGTGTGCCTCTCTTTCCTAAAGTCTTTTAGTTCTGGCTGTCTCTACTTCCCCAGGCAGATGGGCAGTTCATTTTTATTGTGGCTCCAGTTCAGATCTATTTTAAGTAGCAATGTTAGTAGCTCTTTACTAATTAGAAGTAGTAACACATATTAAGTGACACAGTCATTAAAAATTGTGCAGATTAAATATTGATCTATAAAGATATTTGGTTTTTGAGTTTGGGTACTCCAGAATTCTATGTTCAGTGGGCTTGTAGAGAGCTGAGCATGGTGAAAGCTGCTCTTCCACCAAAGAGGGAAAACAGAAACCACATAGCAGAGGCAGGTGGTGACAGTGGTGTGTTTGCCTCATCAGGATGTGAGTGGTCCCCAGGAGCTCTCCAACAATGACATTCAGAAAAAAACACCAGCTCTTAAAACAGGAGGAGTGGAGCCATGAAGAAATAAAGTTTAATCTTAGACCTCTGTTTTCTAGGAAGGGCCTGGGGAGTGGTCCACGTTGGAGGCAGAGACATTGATGAAAGATGATGAGATCTGTGGAACTAAAAACCCAACTCCTCATAAGATTTTGCTTGATACAAGATTTGAGTTGCCTTTTGGTGAGTCTATTGAATTAGACTTTAAAAACCATTTAACACTTTTTACCATATTGTTAACAATTGTTTGCTAGTCTCATTACTGTATTTTTTGTGTTGTCAGCTATCTCCTTTGAGGGCATTCTGTCTTCTTCTACCCTAGTCCCTATAACACCTAGCCCAGGAGTGGTACAGGCTGTAGAATGATACTCATTAAAGAATCCACACTAAGCGTATTCTCTTCAAGTTAATAGGTTTCTCTGACTATTTTAATGACTTAGGAAATACTTGCTTGTTAGAGAACACTGATTTATTCTTTTGATAATTTAACATTCATTGTCTTGAAGTGAATGTATACCTTGTGATTTGTTAATTTAAACATTGAAGTAGAATTAATAGAAAAGTATTTAAAGAATAAGTCAGAGAAAGACAAATACCATATGATTTCACTCATGTGGAATTTAAGAAACAAAATAGAGGAACATAGGGGAAGGGAAGGAAAAATAAGATAAAAACAGAGAGGGAGGCAAACCTTAAGAGACTCTTAACTCTAGGAAACAAACTGAGGGTTGCTGGAGGGATGGTGGGTGGGGAGTTGGGGTAATTGGGTTATAGGCATTAAGGAGGGCACTTGATGTAATGAACACTGGGTGTTATATGCAACTGATGTATCACTAAATTCTACCCTTGAAACTAATAATACACTACATGTTAACTGAATTTAAATAAAAAACTAAAAAAAATTTTTAAAAACAGAAAAAATACATGTTCATGGCAAAAATAGGTTTTTTGTATGTATACAGTTTTGCTAGAGAGTGGATCTGTGGAGCTCCTTACAACTGTCAGTCCATCCCTCATTGCGTTTTATTTTACTTATTTTTATTTTAAGTAGGCTTCATGCCCAATGTGGGCTTGAATTCAGGACCCTGAGATCAAGAGTCATATGCTCCATGGACTGAGCCAGCCAGCACCCCCCCAAGGCATTTTAAAAAAACATTCCTCTTTCAACACTGCATGATTTATATCCTGTCATTGGTGGCAGTGTACATTTCTATCTAGATTTTGAGTTTCATGAGGGCTCTTGTGTACTTTATTTTGGTATCTTTAGAGTTTGCTTGGCACATAATAGGTGTCTGATAAATGGTTTTTTGAATAAATGTTAAGGTAAAACCTCAGATAAGTGAGGTCTGTCTTTGATGTGTGTTAACGTGACTGTGCTAAGCTTGGGCCTCTGTGATAACCACATTTGGCATACAGTTTTCAAAGGCTTAATAAAGGGAGGCGCCTGGGTGGCTCAGTCTGTTAAGCCTCCGACTCTTGATTTTGGCTCAGGTCATGATCTCAGGGTCATGAGATCTAGCCCCGAGTGGGGCTCCCTGCTCAGTGCAGAGTCTGTTTCTCTCTCTGTCCCTCTGCCCCTCCTCCTGGTTGCATGCGTGCGTGTGCGCTCTCTCTCTCAAATAAATAAATAAATCTTTAAAAAAACTGAAAATAAAAGGCTTAATAAAGGGTCTTTCTGTGGGAAGAATTTTAGCTTATAGCGTGCCATATTTTGGCAATGGAATTTTCTTTTGGATAATTCAAAAACCTGTGAAATACTCTATTCAGTTATATACCATTTTTTAAAAATAGTAACATGAATTTTTTTATTATGTTAAAAGTTCAGAAAATACAGGTATGCAAAAAGAACATTAAAATTTCTTATCAACTAGAGATTTTTTTTACATGTTGACATGTATCTTTTATTTTCAAAAATATTTTAAAAAATACTTATTTGAGAAAGAGAGTGTGGGTGGAGGAGCAGAGGGAGAGAGAATCTCAAGCAGACTCCATGCCTAGTGTGGAGCACAACAAAGGACTCAATCTCATGACCCTGAGATCATGACCTGAGCCGAAACCAAGATTTGGATGCTTAACTGATTGAGCTACCCAGGTGCCCCAAGATTTCATTCCTTTGATGGCTGAGTAATATTCCTGTGTGCGTGTACTAGATCTTCTTTATCCATAGAATGGAGTTTTCTGTTTCTGCAAAGAAACATTATTGAGATTTTGATAGCAATTGCATTCAATATGTAGATCACACTGGGTAGTGTTGACATTTTAACAATATTAAGTCTTCTGATCCAATGGGAATAATAGTACATTATTTTGTTTTTTGTGTGAAGATTCAAGATCAAGTTCATGGCAAGAACCAAGTCCACCAGTAAAATTAGTCCATCACTTTCTAACTTCGATTATTTGATGGAATAAAGGATTATTGACCCATGATTAAATTAATAACCTAGTAATGTAGTTTCTTCTTTTTTCATGGTAGATATCCCAGAGGAGGAAGCCAGATATTGGACCTACAAATTGGAACAAATCAATGTCTTGGGAGCTGACAGTGAGGTAGGAATTGCCTTATTTGCAATACAGAGAGATGGGGAAAATTTCTTTCTAGGACACTATAATTTGCCAAGGGAGGGACCCAGGAGCATGTTAAAAAAATGAAAGAATTTAAGCTGCATTAAGGAAAGAAGGCAACTGGAAGATCACTGGACATTCATTAGAAGGATTTGTCTCCCACTTTTCCTATTTTTCTCATTGTCCCCCATAAATGGCAGAGTTGGCATTTAGTCTGACTCTAGACTCTGAGTGAGAGCTTATACTAGGGAAACTGTCCTCTTGTTACACAGATGAGCAGAAGGCATTTCATCTGCTAATCCCCAGATTTTTAGGTAAACAGTTGACCCTTGAACAATAGGAATTTGAACTGCGTGGGTCCACTTGTACACAGATTTTTTTTTTTTTAAGATTTTTATTTATTGGGGCGCCTGGGTGGCTCAGATGGTTGGGCGTCTGCCTTCGGCTCAGGTCATGATCCCAGGGTCCTGGGATCGAGCCCCGCATCGGGCTCCCTGCTCTGCAGGGAGCCTGCTTCTCCCTCTCCCGCTCCCCCTGCTTGTGCTCTCTCGTTCTCTGTCAAATAAATAAATAAAATCTTTAAAAAAAAAAAAAAAGATTTTTATTTATTTGTCAGGAGGAGGGTGGAGAGAGAGAGTACAAGCAGGGGGAGCAGCAGGCAGAGGGAGAAGTATGCTCCCTGCTGAGCAAGGAGCCTGATAACGGGACACTATCCCAGGATGGTGGGATCATGACCTGAGCCCAAGGCAGACACTTAACTGACTGAGCCACCCAGGCGTCCTGTACACAGATTTTTTTATTTATTTTTTGGATAAACACAGTGCTATAAATGTATTTACTGTTATGATTTTATTAACATTTTTTCCTCTAGCTTGTAAGAATACAGGATGTAACACATATAAGATGCAAAATATGCTTTGACTATTTATTGCTAAGGCTTCCAGTCAAAAGTAGGCTATTAGCAGTTAAGTTTTTGGGGGATCAAAAGTTGTATGTGAACTTTGCCTGTGTGGAAAGTCAATGCCGGTAACCCCCCATTGTTCAAGAGTCAACTGTATATTGTTATTTGTATGTTATTTTTAGGGTTGCTTAGGGTATTACATTGCTTGGTCCTGTCTTATCCCCAGAGAGAAGTCTGGTGCACAGAAGGGAACACAGTCAACTTAGTCTGAGCCATTAGGAATGGGGGATGTTTTTGTTATTGGCGGTGAAGGATAAGATAAGATTTTCATTTTGGGGCATGTGGGCTGTTAGAAAATTGGTCTGATTAGAAGGTAGAATTTGGAGTGCTAGCGGATATTTCAATGGAAATGTCTGATAAGAAACTTTAGGAAAGAATATGAAACTCAGGGTTAGATAGGGTGAGGAGCTATAGGCATAGAATTTGGATTCATGAATGGTAGCATTGATTCATAATGGTAGCATTTGGAGTCCCAGGAATAGAAGAACTCACTCAGGTAGAATATATAGAAAGTATTGAAGGACGCCTGGGTGGCTCAGTTGGTTAAGCGACTGCCTTCGGCTCAGGTCATGATCCTGGAGTCCTGGGATCGAGTCCCACATCGGGCTTCCTGCTCAGCAGGGAGTCTGCTTCTCCCTCTGACCCTCTTCCCTCTCGTGCTTTCTATCTCTCATTCTCTCTCTCTCTCAAATAAATAAATAAAATCTTTAAAAAAAAAAAAAAGAAAGTATTGAAGAGGAATGAGGACAAAACCTTGGGGGAACATCAAAGATAGAATATGGAAAAAAAACAAAGAGATGGAGAAAGAGTTGCCTGAAGAGAGCCAAGTAGGAGAAAAAGGTTCATGGAATAAAGGAAAAAAGGGTTTTAAGGCAGAAATTCTTGATACTGTCAAATGTTATTAAGAACAAAGATGATGAGGGGCGCCTGGGTGGCTCAGTTGGTTAAGCGACTGCCTTCGGCTCAGGTTATGATCCTGGAGTCCCTGGATCGAGTCTCGCATCAGGCTCCTCGCTCAGCAGGGAGTCTGCTTTTCCCTCTGACCCTTCCCCCTCTCATGTGCTCTCTCTCTCAAATAAAAATAAATAAAATCTTTAAAAAAAAAAAAAAAAGAACAAAGATGATGGGTAATGAAATGGAGCTGTTACATTTGGCAGTTAATGACCAGTATCTTTGGATTAGTGCAGGAAGCCAAAATGAAGTGTTTTGATGAGTATATGGGTTTCCTAGGGCTGCCATAACAAAGTACCACTAGCTAGGTGGCTTACAAAAACAGAAATTTATCTTCTCACAATTCCGGAGGCTGGAATTCTGAAATTAAGCTATTGGCAGGGTCAGTTCCTTCTGGATGTTCTAAGGAATTGTCCTATGCCTCTCTTCTGCCTTTTGGTGGTTTTCAGTAGTCCTTGCTCTTCCTTGGCTTGAAGACACATTGTTCCAATCTCTGCCTCTGTTATCACATGCCTCTCTGTCTCTCAGTCTGTCCTCACAGTGTGTTCTCTTGGTGTGTCTTTGTCCAAATTTACATTTATGTTGTAAGGGCAACAGTCCTTGGATTAATTGCATTAGATCTATAGAACCCCATTTACAAATAAGGTCACATTCATAGGTACTGAGGATTAAGATGTCATATTTTTTTGAGGTACACAATTCAACCCACAATGAGTTAAATCAAAGATGAAGAAATGGAATTTGTGACAAGTGCAAACTTCTCTTGTCAGGGTTTTCTCTTAATTTAACTGAATCCTCTGTAGGCTTCCTATTATTAAACTACATAACTCTTCTCATGCCCAAGCCAACATCTCAACTTTTCTTGTTTGTTGAAATCTCCAATCTTTCTTTTTCCCTTGATCCAGTCTTCCTTTTTCCCTTGATAAATGCCAGATCGACGCTATCTTTGTATCCATTTTACCCTTTGTGCTTTTTGTTTTCCCATAGCTGGTATACAGTTTTCCAAACTCCCATCTTCTTTTTTTTCCTAGTAAAGAAACACATTGCTGAATGCCTGGCTGGCTCAGATGATAGAACATGCAACTCTTGATCTTGGGGTTAAGTTTGAGCCCCACGTTGGGTGTAGAAATTACTTAAAAATAAAATCTAAAAAAAAAACACCCCGCATTGTACTTTTGATTTTATAGGCTTACCATGTGTCACTATGTAGAATCAGATGAAGAAGTTAAAACAATAAAAAACCGAATGTAACTTATACAAATATCGCAGAATTTTACAAGTTCTAAAAATGGTGGTTCTTGGGGCGCCTGGGTGGCTCAGTTGGTTAAACCGCTGCCTTCAGCTCAGGTCATGATCCCAGGGTCCTGGGATCGAGCCCCACATCGGGCTCCCTGCTCATGCAGGAAGCCTGCTTCTCCCTCTGCCTGCCGCTCCCCCTGCTTGTGCTCTCTTCCTCTCTCTCTCTCGCTATCTCTCTCTGTGTGTCAAATAAATAAATAAAATCTTTAAAAAAAAATAAAAATAAAAATGGTGGTTCTTGGTCTGTGGTTCTCAACTCCCTCTAAAATTTTTGCTTTTTGTTTCTATTCTAGGATTTAGAGTTTACTAAGTTTACCTCTTCTATTCCTTCCTTAATAACCCTCTTGTTGTTTTAAAGATTTGTTTATTTTAGGGAGGGAGAAAGAAAGGGAGAAAGCGCATGTGGGTGTAGGGGCAGAGGCAGAGAGAGAGAGAATCCTCTAGCAGACTTCCTGCTGAGCATGGAGCTGGATGCGGGGCTTGATCCCAAGACCGTGAGATCATGACCTGAGCCGAAATCAAGAGTCAGCCGCTTAACTGACTGAGCCACCCAGGTGCCCCATCCTCTTGTTTATTTAATAGTTTTTTGAAATAGAATTCACATACCATACAGTTCACACATTTAAAGTATACAATTTAGTATATTCAGAGTTGTACATCCTTAGAATATTTTCATTACCCCATAAAGAAATCCTGTGCCCTTAGCCATCATATTCCAATTCCCTCATTTTCTGAGTCCTAGGCAAACACTAATATACTTTCTATACACTGGCTTATTCTGGACATTTCATATAATGGAATTATACAGTATGTGGTTCTTATGATTGTCTTCTTTCCCTTAGCATAATATTTTCAAAGTTTCTTCCATGTTGTGGCATGCATCACTACTTCATTCTGTTTCATTGCCAAATAGTATCCCATTTATGGTTACACTGTATTTCATCCATTTATCAGTTGGTGGACAATTGGGTTGTTTCCACTTTTTGGCTGTTATGGATAATGCTGCTATTAACATTGATGTACAAATTTTTTGTTTGGACATTAGTTTTCTCTTGGGTATACACCCAGGAATGAAATTGCTGGATCAGATGGTAACTGTGTTTAACTGTTTTAAAAATGCTAGACTTTTTTTCCAAAGTGGTTGTACCATTTTACATTCCCACCAACAATGTATAGGGTTCTATTTTCTCCACATCCTTGCTAACTCTTGTTGAATACAGCCGTCCTATTGAGTGTGAAGTGGTATCTCATTGTGATTACCACTTTATTTAAAAATTTTATTATTGAGATTTTCTGCCATGAAAAATATATAGAATTACTCTGTTATTCTTCCTTCTTTTTTTTTTAATAATTTTTTTATTGTTATGTTAACCACCATACATTACATCATTAGTTTTTGATGCAGTGTTCCATGATTCATTGTTTGTGCATAACACCCAGTGCTCCACGCAGAATGTGCCCTCTTTAATACCCATCACCAGGCTAACCCATCCCCCCACCCCCCTCCCCTCTAGAGCCCTCAGTTTGTTTTTCAGAGTCCATCGTCTCTAATGGTTCGTCTCCCCCTCCGACTTACTCCCCTTCATTCTTCCCGTCCTGCTATCTTCTTCTTCTTTTTTTTCTTAACATATATTGCATTATTTGTTTCAGAAGTACAGATCCGTGATTCATCAGTCTTGTACAATTCACAGTGTTCACCATAGCACATACCCTCCCCGATGTCTATCACCCAGCCACCCAATCCCTCCCACCCCCCACCACTCCAGCAACCCTC